TTTACATTACGAACTTTGCTGGCTGGAATCGACTTTGAGCGCAAAACCAGCAACCAAAGTCGATTTTGGTTTACTGGTCGATAGGCACAACAAAACTCGAACTTTGACCGAAAGTTGGCTTCATTTAATACCTTTTCCTGAATACAGTGCTTAATTTAATGCGTTATCGATAAGCTTTTAGTATGAAAATGGCGAAATGACATTTCGTTTTGTTTGTTGACATATTTATTTGTTTGTTGTGTATTTAAGATTGTATTAAGGCTTTATGCTTACCTATAGCTCCAAAGCACTAAGAAAAACCTATTTTGTTAAAACCCTGCGCACATTCCTCATTTTTTCTTCAGTTAGGAAATCAGAGCTTAGTTACTGCGGGGCCATAACTCTTCATACCTCCGAACAAAACTCTTTAAGAATGACGCGCACGCTTGCTTTAGATATACCCAACAGCCTTCCGATTGTGCTGTACTCAGCAGACCCGTTTCTCCAGTGATATACACTGTCTAAAGCTGGTGGTACTTCGCTCAAAACCTTCAACTTTGTTGCATATCATGATTTTTATATATTGGGTACTAGCATTGTTACCCTTACATTATTTAATACTTTCTTTTAATAAAAGATAGCCTTAAACAATGTCTTCAGACAAACAGCCAGAGACTGTTTCTGGGGCAGTAAGCTCCGCTTTGCTTTGTTTATATACATAACCTTAAAAACAGTTAATCTATTGATGGATTTTTAAAACAACAATACCCCCTTATATCAAAAGCTATTTCAAAAATACTTAACTTAAGTTATGCTGTTATAATAAATCAAAAATTATGTATATATTACAATGTATATAATGTGATAAATCATAAATTGCTGTATTGAGATACCTATACATTTATAGTAATTCAACATCTATAAAAACATGTTCTATTTACAAGGATAAAATCTTTCTATTATCTATATTTTGATAGTTATATCTGTGTATGTAGTCATTATTGCCTTAAATCTCTTTTCAATTTTGTTTCAAACTATAAATTATCTCTAAATATTCTTTATATTGCTAAAAATTATTCTGTTCCTCATCTTGAGGTAATCCTATTCCATGTTTATTATTGCTTCAAAATAAACTAAATAGAATCCACTATTAGACATCTAATTATATTGGGTTTTAATTGAATAGAGAATAACATATGTATTAATATAAACCAAATGTGAACAAAATTAGGGGTTATTGCAACCTTTTTCAAATATGTAGCAAAAATAGGCATCATTTTTAAAAAGGTTAATATATTTATAGAAATAAATTTAATTTATTCAAAAATAATTTAATAATAATAGATAAATTGGATAAAATATTGAGAGAATAATTGGTCAGTCTTTGGTATTATACTGTCGTAGGTTATTTTATATATAACCTGTCATTATATGGTTATAAAGTCGTCATTATAACCTTTGTAAATTGGTTAAATAACCAATAGAAATAAGTCTTGGTTTCCATTAACGCGTTTCGTCCGGTTACCAACCGGACTCATCAGAATGGATAACTGATATAGGTGTATATTAATACACATATATGAAAAATTAATGGTATAAAGTGTCGTCAAGTCATATGTATATAAAGGTATTAACAACATTGTTATAGTAACATGTTTTTGAAAATTTAAAGTGATTCATTTGCTTACCTTGATAAATATGTGGGTGTGGATTTGCCCATCCAATATATCAGGTTATTATTGTGTATTCACCTAATATCTGGCTGTGAATTACTGGATCCTATATCACTAAATTATTTATTACACTAAATTATTTATTATATTCACTTGTCTATCAACATTCTAATAATTAAATTACTAAAATTTTGGGGCTTGAATATTGAATTATTATTAAGTATTATAAAAACCAAAGCACCATATTATTAAATATATAAAACAATACACAATGTACTCATTAAAAATATTGCACACGGAAGTAAAGTGTTAAAACGATATAAACACCTGTTATACTATATATGAATTACCGCACGGTTTGTGAGCACAAACACAACTAAATGAAAACTAAACCAAGAGGTTTAGCATTGGCGATTCATACGGAATATTTTGGCAATTATTTTTCGGCGCTTTATTCGTATGTAATTTAATCTATTGAGAATTTCATTTTGTTGTGCAAATTCACTGCAGAGCAATGTAATTATATTTTGATCTATAATTTTCATCTAAATATATAATAAACGAACACAATATTCACAAATATCAAAATGTATACAATTGTAAACAAAAGATAACAAAAACAACAACTGTCAAAATGAAAATCTGAAACGATAATGTAAACGCTGAATCAACTTTAGCAAAGTTCGTTCACTAAAGTTCGTAATGTGAACATCGTATAACATGCACAACTTAATTGGTTATTTATTATATACACTAATTAGGCACACATATAAAGTTTCTAATGTGTTAATACATTTATGTTTTCACTTTTTTCTACAACAATAAATTATTTTTAATTAATAACTTACCTTCGATAATCCTTTGGAAAAATGTATAGATGATATATTTTTCTGAAATAATTACCTTTTTTAATGTTTTAGTAAATGAAAACAAATTCCGCCTTAT